AAAAATGGGCCCATTTTTTGCTCATTTTTGACCCACTTCCACTCTCCAGGAGCACTTTACAAGCCTCCTAAAGGGTATCCATGCCCCCCCCTTTTTTTGGAAAAAAAAACAGGCCCATTTTTGCGAAAAAAGGGCCGTTTTTGGGAGGTTTGCAGAGTACAAAAAAAAATTTTTTAATTTGCCTCCACTCCGAAAAATACGGTAGATCTTAACTGGATGCTTCTTCAAGTTAAATGCATACACACGTTTGAACACCTTGGCAGATGAGTCTTGAGAAAAAGCATTTATTTTTCCAGAGAAATCTCCATATTCCAGAAAGCTGCATTTTATGTTTTGCTTTGCATGTTCCATAATTTATCTCAGAACTTTATATGGTCTCCAGATTCTCCATTCTTGAATACTCCAGCAGCAGTTTTTTACTGGGCTGTAAAACTCCATATAAGCACTGGATGGCATCAAGGAGTTAGGGTTTGAAAAAAAGGCAGCAACAAATAACAAGGAAATAAAATTCACACCATAAAATATTTATTATGAAACAAAAGATTTTTTTTCACTTGTAAGAATCACTCAAATGCTCTTTTAAGAAATTTTTAAAAATTAAATGAACATTAACAATATTTTACTTATTTTACATGACGTATAAAACACCACATCACAAATCATTTTTATTACAACTCAAAGCATCTCCCTGTATATACATACATACACATGTTATTCCCTTTCAGGGTTAGCAAAGTTAGGCTATAAATCAAAGAGATTAAAGGAATTACATTAAAAAAAAAAAAGGAAACACAGCTAAAAATTAGCTTACACTAATACTATTCATTTAATGTTTCCAGGCTTTTCTATGTTCTTGTTTGCTTTATGTTCATACACTGCCTTTTGTTCCTTATACTTCATGTTTTTTTCTGAAAATCTCATCAATTCAAACCTAAAACAATTTTCTAAGAGCCTTTCTCTCAAATCAATCATTCTTACTTCATAGTTCATTCTGCAATTGGATCCTCCTTAATTCTCACTATATGTACAGTATATCACAGAAGTAAGTACACTCCCCTCACATTTTGTAAATATTGGGAGTATATCTTTTCATGTGATAACACTGAAGAAATGACACTTGGTTACAATGTAAAGTAGTGAGTATACAGCTTGTACAGCAGTGTAAATGTGCTGTCCCCCTCAAAATAATGCAATGCACAACCATTAATGTCTAAATTGCTGGGGATGTACTCACTTCTGTGATATACTGTACCACCTCAATATACTACATTCATACTGGTCACTCACTTTCATATTGAATAGCATTCATTCATCACTCATACATTTTAAATTTTCCTTTCCTTGCTTTACCATACAGTTCTTAAGTACATCACTCCTACAATATCGCACATCCTCAAGGAAGATTTTACTTTCTGCTTAGTGTTGAACCATTTACTAAGTTTCATTTATTCTCACACTGTTGTATACCACTATTGTGACATTCAGAAACAATTTTCAATTTCATAATTCAAGCCTTTATCACGTTTAATCTTAAATCAACAAATATACAATGAACTTTCTCGCCTTCATGCATTTCTCAATGAAAAGCATTTCTCCCAAACAGTTGTAAAGTGGTTTCTAGAATACTTTCCATTGTAACTTATTTTTTTTTCCAAACAAGTAAACAAAACATTCACCTGATTTTCACCTAAGTTGCAGGACGTGTGCAATGAATTTCGGGATGAGAAAGTGTAGCTCTTTGCACTTAGAAGGAAGCCCAACTGACTATTCTAACTCTGTACATTGCAGCCCAAGACCATCAACTTTTGTTTCAACTAAGAAAACTTAAATCTACCCTCTGAGATGATGATAGCGAATCTAATCCAATTAGTTCCAAAGCACTTCATATTTTTTAAGCCAAATTGATCTATTCCGGCCAAAAGGGTCTTTTCAAGCTAAGAGCTAATTTATTAATCAACTACAATAATGTCACTGCTAATAAGCCTCTGTAAGATATAATGTAAGACTAGGGTGACGAGATACTGTAAATAAGATCAGTTGGTACAGGGCAATATAGTTTTGATTTAATGCTGTTTAAACTTTTTAAAACCGATAAAAGAGCTATCCAATTTATCAAAAATATTTTTACATGGATGGTCTGTGGACTGGCACATTCTCCTTGTAATGTTTTTTATACTGTTATTGTTAATTTCTAATTCTTCTTGTGGTGGCTAATTTAAATCTTTCTCTGGACTCCAATGTTGACACTTATGTAGGACTTTCCCAGCATGTGATTTATTTGGCCTGTTTTTATTCATATTAAATAGGAATTCCCTCTTCTCAGGTCCATGTCAAGTCTTGATATAGATGTGACTTTTGTATTGCATTCAAATACAAAACAAAAGGAGTTGGGAACATATTGAAGTATTGGCTACAATCCACAAACCTCAAGTTTACTGACATTCCCAAATGCAGTTTTCAAGGGATGCAGGAGCCTTTGTGAGCAAACACTGAAATTCACAGATTAGTAAAACAGATATTGGGGCTTTCATGGGTATTTTAATTGGAATAATTTACTGTGATTTGAAAATGCCTGAAATAAACAATATTTCTGCATTGACCATGGCCATAATCCAAAGGACTGCACAGATATATTCATGCTCCTGAGGAGGTATGTCACAGTGGCTGACTGCTTAGTGAGAACATTCTGAAAGGCAACTTTTATGGACTAATTAGGACTTGCTATTTGGAGGTTATGAAATAAATCCCAGTTTCCTTGTTTGTGGATGAGCATGGCTGGTTTAGTTCCTTAAATCCCAGTCTATAAATCAAAACTTCAAGTCCATTGGAAAATAAACGTTACATGGCTAGGAAAAGAAACCATATGAAGCTGCCACATGAAGTCATGTTATTTGTCCGTTTTTATGGCTCTCCAGATTCTCCAGCAGAAGATCTCTCAAATCAACTGCTGCAGAACTCAAGAGAAGGGAGGAGGAAGAAGGATGTCAGGATATGAATATGGACTTCCTACAGTGGAATGACTACATTTTTACCACTGAGCTAACCAATAAGTTCCTAGGACTGACATTAATAATAAACATTGCACCATTTAGCCTACTACTGTGAAGTATGATTGTCGGTACAGCAATATGAAGAGTCATTGTACCTAGGACAAAAAGGTAAAACAAGACACTTCTAAAATATTGTCTTGTCACATTGTCTTCTATTCACTAGGCAAATACCACTGACTAGGAAGTACCTGAGGGGCATTTAATCACTTACTTATGCGAGTTTGGTAACAGAAATATCAGTGCCTCCTTCAGCATAATCCTTAGCCATTATAAGTTATACACTGGAATGGAGGCATGACCTAGAAATACCACTTCCAGGTACCTTCATACAGTTTTTTGTTACTGTATCCAGTGAAAGCCAGGAATGGACACCGTCTGAAGCACAGGTTTTCCAAAATTATTTACGAATTGTTGCTTTGTACAGTTTGTTGTTACTACACCTTTGTTTGATGCATCATTGCAACTGGTTTGATTTCTTGCTTCCGTCCCTTCTTAGAGTTACACAGTCACCGCAGGATACATTTTCTGTTCGCTATTACTGTGGGGATATGGTGACTGAACGGGCCTGTAACCGCTCTGCAGGCTATCCAGGAAAGGTGGGACAGAAGCCATGGGCATGGAGTCATGTTGCACGGCATACCCCACGTACTGGGGGTGCAAATATTGCCCTTGGTGAGGCACTATCTGTGTGGCCTGTTGGCAGTTCAGTACTGAGAAATTAGTTGGCATGTTGACATATACATTATTCATGGTCCCCTCTGGTAAGCAGCAGTTAGCTTGTGATCTGGTGGGGGCAGCCCTGGCACCAGAGTTGGCACTTGAACTGGAGCTGGCAGCTGTGCTTGATTGACGCGAGGATGATCCCCGGGAGGTGCTGGCACTTGGAATCATGGGGATTGTCTCCATTATCCTATTCCCTCCAGGAGCCCGGCTCTGTTGTGGTTCTTGCTTGGGTCGCAGACACCGGCAACAGCAAGCTGCCACCAGGGATCCCAGAATAATGAATGCCACGAAAACCGACCCCACAATAAGGAATGGAACATAAATAGGCACTGCCAACAGAAAAGAAAAAAAAAATTGTGAGGATTTGTGCTACCAGGGCAAAATATAGATTATACAATAGTGAGACATTTTCGGCTACCTTTTCTTACCTCCAGGAAGACAAAAGAAAACAAGGAATTGGTAAAGCAATCTTCCCAACCTATTGAAGTCCAAGTATGCTGAACTATAACTCCCCAAATAGCAAAGCCTGTGCTTGATAATTAGGGGAATTCTATATACCTGGAAGGTTTGGAAAAACACTAGCTTTTTGAGTTGTTTGACAAAATGCAATCAGAAGTGCTGGCAAAAATTGCAACACGCATGACAAGTTCTTCTCTACCCCCCCCCCATCACTTATAACATCTGAAATAAATGACACAACATCATGCACTAATTTTCCTTTTACCATCCCATCTTATCGTTATTCCTGCTGTTCTTCTAACTCATGACAAGACACTCGGGAGAGCTCCTTATTTCAACTTGACAACAATTGTGAAATAGGTTACAACTGATTATACTGCCTGGCCCAAAGTTAGCTCCATAATCAGCTGCAGATCTGAATCTGACTCTGTTAAATTGCACTGAATCTAACTTAGGCGGACCTATCTATAACTGGACTATTCAAAGCAAAGATTAATAGAGTTAATAGTGTTCTTTTTTAAAGTACTCTTGTACTACGATCTTTATTAATGTCAATGTGACTTGGACATATATACAATTAAGTTAGGTTGAGCCCCACTCCTCTTGAATCTAGAGAAATTTTACTTTGTTGTTACTAATCGGAAGGGGTTTGTCACTGTCTTCTTCCAGATTCACCCTCACACAAGTGTAAATGAAATTAAGCATTTCTTGTTATATTCAGTTTTTTCAGGAATAGAAGAAATAAGATCAAACACAGTTTCTGTTGATAATATAAACACAGTATCAGAATGGGTTGCTTTGAATTTCTTCTTTTATTAGTTTCCCAGTTTAATGTAGTTTAAATTATTAGATGATTCCCCCCCTATTCAAATACTAAGCCTGATTCCTTTCTAGATCATCCAAGATTGGTTAGCTAGTTGAATAATGAATAATTGGACTCAACTATAATATAATTTCTGATGAATTCATAAATTTCAGGAGAAGAAATGCTGGAAAGCAATTTAGCAAAAGTTTTTTTAAGTCAAAAGGCTAGGTTTAATATAAATCACACAGGAAGGCTTCTGGAATAATGTTATTTATTCATTCATAATATAGAAACACCTAGGCTAGGCTGTTATATGAGCTGATATTATTTTTGGCCCTTTTTTGTTAGTTTCATTTTTCTAGGATTTGCTTTTTAATTAGAAAATCAATTTAAAATATTGTTAGTGAAATGATGTCTTTTTGAGACAATTTAATTGAGATGTTATAGGAAATGCTACCATCTAGAAAGTTAGACAAATATATTTGTTCTTCCTATAATGGGAGGAAGGACAGGGGGAAAATGAAAATTCAACAAGTTTCAAAATATAAAAGATTGTGAGTGAGATTATTAATCACTTAATATATGTCTACTTTTTCTAGTTTTGCCAATGAGTCTGAGTCAATGTAGCTGATAGCAAGTGAATCGAGGTTGATGTACTTGGCTAGTTTATGTCTAATTGTGCCCTGTGATCATAGCATTAATTAAGGAAGATGATTAAAATCTGGAGGGAGGATAGGAATTAGAACATGTTACTGTTAATATTTGGGACATTTTTGTAGCAGATTATATTGTAATCCATGGAAACTGGGCCATATCAGTTTCTGACATTCTTTTAGGTTGATCCAAGAATTCTCACAATAATTGTCGGAAAGTGGAACCAAAAAATAACAGATCTCTTAGTTTTTGAAGAATAAAATTTAACCTGAAACAAGAAAGTGTGTAATTACTTTGTAAACTTTCATTCCAGCGAATGTAGATATAGCCTCAGCATTACTTTTGTACTTTCTTTTTGGTATTCAACAAGGATGCTATTCTGGTTTATTTTATTTTATTATTTGTATATTTTCAGGTAAACTCTGAATGGAGAGCGTCCATGAATAAAATGAGGAAAAACCTGGAAAGGGGACTGACATACGTGTGCAGACACCCCAAAAAAGATGTTTCCAGAGTTGGGATAGAGAGCCTCTATCCCAACTTTCAGCCAACATGGTATCTTCCAATTGTGGAGGAATAAAAATTCTTAAACCAATTTGTTGATGATGAAACATTTGATCGGTCAACACACTCTTGAGTCAGACCTCCAGAACAATCAGATAATATCAATTTCCTCCTGTACCTAGTTACACAACAGTAATAGGATGGCCTTAACTAGGCTTACAAAATAAACTCAGTCAGGTTTAGCTAATATTTTGATGGGAAACCATCAAGGAATGTATACTACTTCCACATGCTCGCTAACCCTATAGAATTAGGATTAGGGTTAGGGTCAGGGCTGGGTTGCTGGGGGTTGGCAGGGGTTCGGGAGAACTTCTAGCTAAGATTCTGTGCAGTTCAGATAACTTCCTACCCCACCCTGCCCCTCCCAGGAGTCCCCACACAGCCCATTTTGGATGCAGGTAAGCGTGGAGGCTTGGGGGGGGGGGGGGAAACGGGCCTACCAGCAGTTCAAGAAGGCTCCTCTGGAGCACCCTCACGGAGGCTCGAAGAAAGCCTCCGGAGCCTGGGGAGGGCAAAAAAGCCCCCCACCCCCCGTGGCGCAGGACGCCAAGTAGGCTATGCCCACCCAGCTACTGGGCAGAGAACCCCTTGCTAAAATTTTTGAAGCCCACTGCTGGTTAGGGACAAGGGTTGCATATGGGATACTGGTGGCTTAATGTGAGATCTCTGTGAAACTGCTAGCAACTTGAACAGCCACGCGTGCCAGGCGGCATGGCTCCGTGTGCCATTTCAGGCACGTGTGCCATAGGTTCACCATCCCGGGTCTACTGTATTCATAATTAACTGCACAATCCAGCAAGGGAGCATTATTTTATATCTATGCCCTAACAGGATATTACTCTTTTGGATTTTATCTTATTTTAGTTTATTGACAAGTTGTTTTTCACTTTATCTTCTTAAAAATTCCCACCATCACTTCCTTGACAATATGCCCCCAAGCTTATGCCATCTCTTCTTGTAAACTTAGCAACTTCCATGATTTACTTAACCAGGGCAAAAAAAGACCGTAAAATTGGGTGCCTTGCTTAGCAACAGAAATTGTGGTCCCAATTATGATTATAAATTGAATTACCTGTACTTTACATATATATATTCCAGCCTGTTTCCAGTTGGGTCATTCAATAAGCAACTGCATTTTTGCTAAAAACAGATTTTATACATAGTAAAAGCTAGATAAATTGGGTGAAATTGTACTAACTCCCAACTAAATGATTGCAGCTTATAGGCATTTAAAACTGAAACATCATCAACTCAATTAGCTGTCACTGGTCATGTGCTTATACCTATGAAAACCTTTTCATGTCTCTTTTTATGACTGTACCTTTTTCAATTCCTGCTCTTGGCGCACAAACCTATAGTAACATTTTCAGGTGCCTTCTACACCGTGATACGTTGTTGAATTATCATCATTGCTCAACCTTAAGTTTTGTTCCTTACACCATCCATCTTGTCAACTCGCTTGATTCTGATTTTTTTGCCATGTATATGTATCTGTGTCGTATATGTGTTGTGTGAGGGTATATGCATAAGGGTTATTCTTTGAAAGCTGAATGCAATGACATTTCATTTTAATGTATGCTGATTAGTGTACATTTAAAGTAACAATAAATGTTCTATGCTATGCTATTCCTTTCCTATTTCTTTCTATTCTTTTATTCTAAAGCCATTTATTACAAGTCAGAAAACATTCCAAAATAGTGACTTCTGAAAAGACACTAAAAGTCTGCTGAGTGTAAGTGTTGTTGAGTGTACAGACTGTTTTCTTGGGTTATTTGGCTCACAAAAGTTTAGGAGCAATAAATAATGAGGACATTGACAGATCAAAGCAAAAATAAATGGAGCTTTGTATGTGAATGGATGGTCTTTTTTATGCATTGTGGTAATGGTACAATAATTTTAAGGGATTTTGAGGGAAGCCGCTTTGGAAAACTTTTCTGAAAGCTTCAGAAAGTTTCACAGGTGGGATATTTGGAGAGATATATATATCAGAAGAGGCTTGTTTTGAAACTACTTTTCTTAAACATAAACAAAGGCAAGTACTGTATAAAAGAATTCCTGAACTTAGGATAACTATACAAATATTAACATTGAATGTGTTTGGCAGAATGCTCTAAACTTCTCTTGCTATGTGATTGAATACAAAGAAGCTAAATAAAATGCATTTCAATTTAAAGTACATGTTTTCTATCTCATCAATGATACCCATATGCATGCAAATAACTCAAGCACTTTGTGTTAAATGAGAGCCTGTTCTTAAGTCACTTTAAACTTCTCTGCATTTTATAACTTTTGAGTTTTTAAACAGTATCATTTGCACATTCCATTCAAGAAATTATAACTTCTTTGCCACAACAAATACGTGCACATGTGATATGCATTAAGAGCCCATGTAAGGCTCTGGATAGTCTCCAGAAGAGAATATCTAGAGTCTTACATGGGCTCTTACTGCTGAGTCAGGTAAACAGGTAGCTCTGCTTTGCCTGCAATAGCCCATCCTGGGCTCTAAGGTGGAGCTAAAGCTGGATCTAAACCCTGAACCAATGGAACAGCTTGCCTTCAGAAACCATGGGGGCTCCATCACTGGAGGTTTTTAAGAAGAGACTGGACAGTCACTTGTCTGAGATTGTATATTTTCTCCTGCTTGAGTAGGGGGCTGGACTAGAAGACCTCCGAGGTCCCTTCCAGCTCTATTCTATTCTAAATTCTAAAGTCCAAGATCCCTAAAGAGAGTCAAGGACAGAGGAGAAGCAGGATAATCCAGATCTAGCATTAGCACCCATCTTGAACATCCAAATTATTCAACAAGTTAAGAATCCCAGATTGGCTGATCGGACAAGTACCAAAGATGAATACCAGAATATGATGGATACTCATTATTGGAAATGATATCTTCCATAATAAATGCATATTCCAAAGCAACATGGTGCTGATTGCCCTTTAAACCGTAACATGACTAATACAGGTAGACCTTGATTTACAACAGTTCATTTGGTGACTGTTTGAAGTTACAACAGTGATTTGTGAAAACAGTGATTTATGACCATTTTCTGCTCTGGCAGCATCCTCATGGTCACATGATCAAAACCCAGATTTTTAATATTTATGATGGCTGCAGTGTCCAGAGTTTTGTGACCTCTCACAAACAAAGTCAATGGGGAAGCCAGATTCACTTAACAAGCATTTACTAACTGAACAACTGCGGTGATTCACTTAACAACTGTGGCCAGGAAGGTCATAAAGTGGGGGCAAACTTAACTGTCTCGCTTAGCAACAAAAACTTTGGGTTCAGCACAGGTTATCTTAAAAGAAATACAGGTAGTCCTCAACCTATGACCACAATTGAGCCCAAAATTTCAGTTGTTAAGTGAGACATTTGTTGAGGTTTGCTCCATTTTACGAAGATTCTTGCCACAGTTGTTAACTGAATTGCTGCAGTCGATAAGTTAATATTCCGGTTGTTAAGTGAATCTGGCTTCCCCAATTGACTTTGCGGGTCACAAAAGGCAACCGCATGGACCCCGGGGACACAGCTAGGGTGAAAAATATGAATCAGTTGCCAAGGAAGGGTGTGGATTTTGATCACACGATTATGGGGACACTGCAAAGGCTGAAACTAGGGGGAAACGGTCACAAGTCACTTTTCAGCGTCCTTGAAACTTTGTACGGTCATTAAAGGAACTGTTGTAAGTCGAGGACTACCTGTAACGCACAAGCATCCAATCCAAAGGGGAAAGGGGTAACTTGAGGGAGAGGTCAATGGGAGAAGAGCGGTGCAACCGTGTGGGATTTTCAGGCTCCCCGGCTCCGTACCTGCCGCGCTGTCTGGCATGTCTTTGTCCGGCCGACCGTGCTCGGCTCCGCCGTGTTGCCGGTCGTTGTCGCACATGCCCTGATCCAGGCGGACCTCCGGGCGGGAGCAGCAGTAGCGAAGCGCGCAGGTGCCGCAGCAAATGGTGGCGTCGCCCTCGTCGAAATGCTCCGGACACTGGAAACCTTCCCGCCACGACGCCCCATCTTGCCAGCCGTGGCAATACTCCCCGCTGCCCAGCGCCCCCCGCGCCCTCAGCCCGACCAGCAGGCACAGCAGCAGCAGCAGGAGCCGCCCTCCCGGCGCCGCCAGCAGCTGCCAACGCCGGCCCAGCCACATGGCACCGCGGGGCGGGCGAGGGGGGCCTCCCGCGGCGACTCCCGCCTTTGATTCGGAGCCTCCGTCAACTATGCAAGGCTGCCCCGTCCCGCTCTCTCTTCTGGCTGCCTGGGTTGCCGCGGAAGTTCGTGCGCCCGCGCGCGAGAGGAAGAAGAGAGAGGGAAATTTCGAGAGAAAAGAAGCCGGGCTGAGGAAGGCGGGCTCCGCTGGGAAGTCAGGCGTAGCGTGCCAAGGGGAGGGGTGGGTGGGCTGCTGCTAATAGAACGACCCCTGAATTAAGTGCCAACTGGTTGTCACCTCGCTGCAGCAACTGGCTAGGAACCGTGTGTGTGTGTGTTTGTGCTTGTGTGTCTCTGTATGTGTCTCTCTGGGAGAGAGGAAGCGGAGGGGTGGGGGAGGCCAAAGGACTAGATAAAGAGCCTGCCGTCTGCCGAAGGCTTTGAGCTGAGGTAAAAAGCCCCGCAGTCCACCCGCTCCTGGCCGGCACCAACGGGAGGCGGAGAAGTTCTGAGGGAAATCCAACCAAAGCCGTCTCGTCCGGTTTTTTCCTCCTCGGCCAAGTCACTTGGCGACGCCGGGTCTTCTAGCCCCACTTGGTCGCCCCGCCAACTCCCGGCCGTCGAGGAACTTCGGCATCTCGCGTGGGAACTTCCTTTGTCACGAGGTCCGAGGGAGACCGCAGCAGACGCTGGGAAAAAAGCGGGCGCGACTAATGGGGAACCCCGAGAGGCTCAGCGAAGCTCCACCGCTATCCCAACCGGGTGAGGAGGGGGAAACGCCGTCGCTTTGGCCTCGGGGAGGCAGAGCCCGAGACGACGAGCCCCTCTTAAGAAACGGAAAGGCGAGCTTGAGGTCGTCGCTCCCAGACCAGCGGGACTGAGCAAAGCACTCCGGGAACCATAACACGCCCGGAGATCCCTCGGTGCGCGTGGCTAGCGGAGACCGGGGGCGAGAAAGGGGCTGAGGGGCCCACCTGGCGGCTGCGGAGAGACTCCGCCGCCCGCTTCCTCACGGGCGCCCGGCTTTCCCCCTCGCACCCGCTGCCGGAGCACCTTCAGCAGCTTCTCATCTCCTTAGCCTCTCTTCAGTCTGGAGAGTCCCCATATCCGAAAGTCGGAATCCCGGTCGAACTCCTTTATGCCCATGGAGGAGCTTCATGGAAATGTCTCGCAGCTGGAATAGCGGAGAAGGGTCGGGAGAGAGCCTCACTGGAGCGCAATCTCCCGCTCGGGCTCGCTTCTTTCCCGCCGTGCCTCGCACGGTTCCCAATTGACCGCTGTTTTCCTCTGGCATGGAGAGGCGAACGCAGCTCTCGGCGGTACTTTTCTGCCCAAGGGCGACTTTACCTTCCGATCCTCCCAGCCGGCGATGGCAAAAACTCCTAGCGGAGCTTCCCGAGGCCGGCAGAAGCGGCAGCCACAGGGAGCTCCTGGTCGGTGCGCGCGGATCTCTTTCGCTCCCTCGCGTTCTCTCTTGTTATTATAGGCAGCCCGGCGCTCTCCAGGCGCGCAGGCGCCCTAAGAACCGGCGCTCGCTCTCCCGTTCGCTGAGAAAGGAGGGGGGGTTGTTTTTTTAATGCTCTTCTCACCTCCGCCGAGCCGAGCGATTGGCTCACTTCCCCCTCCTCCACCTAAAGACCTTAGGGCGGGGGGCGGGGAAGAGCAGCCGGTGGGATCGCAAATGCTCGCTCAAAAGAGATGGAGGTTGATAGCCTTCCAAGGATTTCGGCTCAAACCACGCGCTCTCGTGTTGCGTTGCGTGGGGAAATCCAAAGGTGCTTTCTTTTCTTTCCCAAGAGGCAACTGGACTTTCAAGAGCAAGAACAGTGTTGAAAGTCAACGCTGTTCCCTCAACACTGTCAAAACTATTTACCAAGTCTGCTTTACTACTACTATTAATCTTCTCATCGTTCCTATCACCCATCTCCTCTCCCTTGTGACTAGGACTGTAACTGTGTTGCTTGTATTCTTACAATTTATATTGTTTCCTAATATAGCAATAGCAATATAGCAATAGCAGTAGACTTATATACCGCTTCATAGGCCTTTCAGGCCTCTCTAAGCGGTTTACAGGAAGTCGGCAAATGGCCCCCACCACTCTGGTTCCTCATTTTGCCACCCTCGCAAGGTTGGAAGGTTG